TCAGCTACACTAAAGATACTATTACCAATCTAACATATACATGTTTTATATCAGCAGTATTCTCAGAGCATGAGAGAGCCAACAATATATTAACACTAGCATGACAGTTTATTTAAGAAAAGAAAATTGTCTCCGTAGAGGGACAGAAGTTAGAAATGTATGGCTAAAGCTCAGTGTCACTGGTCTAATAAAGGTAATAATTCTTAGGCTTTCTTTATAGCAGGTAACACTCCTGTGACAGTTCTGTCATATCATTCAAATAAAAATGTTGTCTTTTACAAGTTTAAGTGTACCTTTATTTTGAGTCAGATAGAAAGCATGTTTTTGATTTTCTGTATTCACTGTATTATATCTGTAGTCAAGAGTTCAGGACCTTCCTCTTTTTTTTTTTTTTAATCAACTCATCACGTATTTGCTTAGTAGAGGAATTCAGTGTCACTTGCAGTGAATTCCAGAAGGATTTTTTCACTTTGTTAGTACTTAAAAAATGATTAATGATGATCCCAAGCCACTCTCTTCCATTGTCCCCTCCCCTCCCAACCACCTTTTCTAAGATTAAATCTTCTTTGGTTTTCTGCACCATGTTTTATGTTCCAAGATTCTCTACACTACTTTACAATTCTGATCTGGGGCCCCATCACACTGAAACTGTGAAGACTAAGGTGGCTTTTTGCAATAGCTCATTCTGATGGTCCCCTTGCCAGTTATTTAGGAGAATATACACAATGGAATTTCTGATCTGTGAAAAGAAAGCCTTCTGCTCAAGTAAACTTCCCACCTATCTCATTCTCTAGCCCGATGAGGATTAAAGTAGCTTGTGCATATTTATTGGTGTGCCTTGAATGAACGAACTGGCAAAACCAGTAGCAATTGTAAAAAAGCCTTTATATTCACCTCACAAGTGGCCTAAAAGCACTTTGGAAAGAAAATACAGAGGAGCAGGTCATTCTCGAGCTTTCATTCTCCTGGAGTTTCATAATTTATTTTAACCACTTTCTTGGTCAAATTTGTGTCCCTGTGATAGGCACAAGAGTGTACTAGATTTTTTTTTTAAAGTAGAATTACTGCCACTATCCTCCCATTCTCATGTCTGATTAGTGGGAAGTACAGTTCAAAAGTCCAGAAAATCATACAATAGCTGAGCAGCTACCAAGGGGAAAATATAATCAAGACTACCTAGGCTACAGTAATTGATAACAATCACCTGCTTTCCTGAAATGCTAAATCTTTGTGCTATTCTACTCCTGCAGGCCACCAACAACCAAGAAACCTGCTAACTCAGGCTGGGAAACAAATAAATAAAGTTGCTGTCGTGAATTTCTTATTGGACAAATGGTTTTCCCATTACCTATATCCTTCTAATTTAAATAGAATTCAATAAAGAATCAACCTAGTACCCAGAGTGGCCCTATGAGTTACACCAAGAAAATCAAGTCATGATCCTTTCTCTCAAAGAGCTTGTACGTATGATAACAATAGAATAATTTTAATATACTAGATAAAGTTTTAATCACTATAAATTACGATGGTTGTTTTTAATTTAAATACTGAATCTTAATGCAGTCAATGAAGCATTGTCTTTTCCAGGCAGTTACTTTGAGAATTTATGTCTTAATTAATGAATATGTTTGGTATATAACATATTTTTGGACTTTCTCTGTAGGATTTATCTTTCTACAACCAACTTAGAAGCCTCTCAAGAATACCAGTTTCATTAATTTGATGGATCTCATTTTAAAGCAAAACCATTTTAAGCATTCTGCATAACACCTTTTTAATAGATTTAATACAAAGTGATTGGCAACATATCTTAAATTTTCCAATTCACCCTCAAAAGATGATGGATGATAAAAACATAAAGAAAATCATTTTGAATGCTAAGGAACTCAAACAAAAAGCCACTGTGATATGAATCAGAAGGGAAAACTATAAAGGAGAAAAATCTTATACTTTCTGAAATAGAAATTGTCCTGAAATAGAAGTTTCTATTTCTAAGAGAAAGAAGGATTTGCATAAAAGATTCAACCATCCCATCTATAATTTTTAAGCATAAGTAAGGCAATGTATCCTGAAAACACCATAAGGTTATTTTTATATATCACAGGTATGTTGTATTTCCCTGCCTAAGAACACGTAGAATCTCCACACACCGTCCACCAATCACTTACCTCCTGAATCTAAGGTCTCCTGAACGTCTTTCTCAATCATCTCTCCCCATTTTATTTCCAGCCTTCTCTGACAGCCAACCACCAGTATAACTGGTAAGGTCTCTTCATCCTCTGATAATTACACAAATATTCATGTGTCTTCATGATTTATTCAAGCTATTTTCATATGAGCATTTACCACATTTTTAGTATTTTTCAAAACATATATTTCAAATCCTATATCCTCCAATAATCCTTTGTCAGCCACTTTGGCATTATAAAAATGGTTAATATTTATTGAAAAAATTAGTATGTCAGGCATTGTTCTAAAATTTTTATGTGTATTCATCCTTTTTATCTTTATAGCAACCCAAGGCAGGTTTGCTATTATTTTCATTTTAAAGATAATGAAACT